GTTCTATACTAAATTAGTACGTACTATTGAGTCTTCCGTACGAACTCTAATGATCTTAAAATAAAACTAAATTATTGTTTTAAATGATGTTTTTATTATTCAAAATCACTGACACACTAATTTTCATGAATTGTTTAATGTGTATGATTAAGTATTACGTATCCTTGACAAGTAGTCATAAACTCAACACACTAATGAAAAAGCATTACAAATACACTCCATAGATATTTATACTTTACCTGAATGAGCACAGACCCTTGGATCACGAGCATATCAGCGGCCCAAATCTCACACAAAAACCAAGGCCACGTTCTTCAAAACGACAAAGTGTCTTTTCATCTTTGCATTTATGACATATGTCATAAAAGTCTTTTTGTATTTTGATCGTTGACCTTACTCCGTAGCTCGATGTCGCATGGAGTAAGTTATGGGGGGAGAGGACTAGATGATATAGCCATAACTCGGCTAAATTGGACCCACACTAAGTAAAACAGGTCGATCGGTTGAGGATCAATCAGGTCACCTGGCCAAGGCTAAATAGGTCGAGTAACGACCTGAATGATGATGAACAAGCTGAGGTTTACCTCAGAACCATAGCCGACGACCTACTCGACTTAGACTCATAGAGCCTACTATAGCTTAGTAAGGCAACATAAACTACTAAGATCTGCCAACACTTAGCACGGCGACCTACGGGACATGGAAGATGGAACTGAGTAAGGTACATTTGGCCTGGGTACCTAACTTATCAATACTCATTTGTGACAACCTAAAGAACTGCGCCTTGTTGGTACTTTGGTCTGTAGACCAGAGATCAAGAGACCTGTGAGCACTAAGGAATCTGAGTTGTTCATGACCTAACCAAGACAAAGAGGAATCTAATCATGATAAGGTTGAATCTAATGATAAGGATAAGATCAAGGTAATGATGAACACAAAGCAGATAAAGATTAAACGTTGGACATCAGGCAATTCTGAGCAAATTGACTTGGGCAGCTGAGCAGCCCAGACAGCTAAATCTTGGGCACCAAGGTAATGAAAAGAGGTTGAAGTACAACTGGATTACTCTATAAATTTTCAGAATTCTCTAAATACATTGCACATTTCTTTTTCTTCTCCTCACTAACTTGAGTGTCGGAATGCTCGCACCGAAAATCCTTTCCCAACATTGTTTTGTAGGTAATCAATTATTTTTGGACAATCGGAGTTCTTCCTCAGCAGGTTCAACTTAAATCCAAATCCCGACACATCACATGTAATTTTTAAAATATAGTTAAACTTAGAGAATATGCAAGAGGTTTTTCACATAATTTTTTAAAATATAAAGAATAAAATGCCCATTTCTTATATAATATAATGGGATTTGGTGCACATGTATATATAGATTGATTTTAAAATTGAAATTTTCCCAAAAGAAAACGAAGGTGGTGAAATTTCCAAGAAGTTGTTAGGAAGTTTAATCCTAAAGAAAAAAAGACAAAATTAGATTATTGACTCGGATGAAACATGAAACACACACGAAGTTCTCTCTCACACTAATGAATTATGAAAAGTTGAAAACCACCACAAACAAGGAAAATGCTAAAAGCACGTGTTAGTATGCACACTACTTATCTAATATGCACACATTAGTGATATTAATATGTTAAAAATATAGAATTAAACTAGTATGCCCACAAACAAACACCTAACTAGTAATTCGAAAAAAAAATAAAAAAAAAAGAAAAAACACAAGCTAGTATAAATATTTTGCAGATTCCTCTAATCTCACTTAAAAACCACAGAGAACTCAACTAAGAAAAAGAGAAAAATGGTGCAAGAAAAGAAACTGATTGATGAAGTCTCCGGCTGGCTAAAATTGTACGACGACGGCTCCGTGGACAGGATGTGGACTGGGCCGCCCCAATTCAAGTTCATGTCCGACCCGGTCCCTCCCCACCCCCACTTCATAGACGGAGTATCCGCCACTGACTACACCACCCCCGGCGGCCTGAAAATCCGCATCTACCTGCCGGAGATCCCAGGAGACGGCAGAATCCCAATCCTCCTACACTTCCACGGCGGCGGGTTCTGCATCAGCGAGGCCGACTGGTATATGTACTACGCCGCCTACACCCGCCTCGCCCGGACAGTCGGCGCCGCCGTGGTCTCCGTCTACCTCCGCCGCGCGCCAGAGCACCGCCTCCCTGCCGCCTGCGACGACGGTCTCGCCGCCCTCCTCTGGCTACGATCCGTCGCAGCCGGGGACTCTCCCCGCCCGCCTCCGCTACGCGCCGCCGACCCCCGCCGCGTCTTCCTCGTCGGAGACAGCTCCGGCGGGAACATTGTCTACCAGGTGGCGGCGCGCGCGGGGCGCGAGGATCTGGGCCCTCTGAGGATCGCCGGCGCGATCCCGATCCACCCGGGGTTCTGCCGGTCGCGGCGGAGCAGGTCAGAGGTGGAGCAGCCGGAGACGCCGTTCCTGACGCTGGACATGGTGGACAAGTTCTTGAATCTGGCACTGCCGGTTGGAGCCACCAAGGACCACCCCATCACGTGCCCGATGGGGAAAGATGCGCCGCCATTGGAGGGGGAGATTCTGCCGCCGTACCTGTACTGCGTGGCGCGGCAGGATCTGTTGTGGGACACGGAGATGGAGTTCTACGAGGCAATGATAGAGGCGAGAAAGGAAATTGAGGTTTTCGTGAGCGAGGGCGTGGGCCATAGCTTCTACCTGAACAAGGTTGCGGTGGATAACGACGCCGCAACCGCAGAGCAGACTCGGAAGCTCTTCCACAGGATCGCACACTTTGTCGCCGGACACTGAGATCCGACTGATATATGCATACTATTGTCCTCTGAAAAAAAAAAAATAAAAAAAATAACAAAAAAATATGAGTGTCGGTGTCGTACGTTTAGGCAAGTTGCAGACGAAATTTGTGACTATACTCTTCTTCTGTACTGAAGGACTGAAGGACCTTTCCTTTTCTTTTCTCTCTGTTTTTTCTCATCTCTGCCTATTATTATTATTATTATTAT